ATTTACGCAATAAACTACCTATTTCCCAAAGGATGCCTTTCCATGAAATAGTCAATTCTAATTTGCTGCATAACCTCTGCAAGCGTGCTTCTTACGATCACATTGAGTGCCTTTTCACAGAACGCACATCGCCATTCAAGATGGCAGTTCCCCTACACGAGTACAGTTATGATTGATATTTATAAATATGCATTTTGATAACCGTGAGCTCTAAGCCAAAGTAAACTTCCGGCTAGTAAAGCAATACAAGGGAGGTTAGAATTAGGAAAACTTCAAGAACCCAAACAGTACTAAGTACAGGGAGAGAGGATTTGTTAAGGGATCAAAGGGTCAGAACCTAGTCATGATTAGGGACCAGGGAGGGAGGAGGGGACGGGAATGGGGCTCCGGCTTTGCCCCGTCCTTCCTGTCTCGTGTCTTGTTGGGAGGGGTTAGGACGCAAGGTGTTATGGTCCCGCGACGGCGTGGGCAGCGTGGTGATATATGCCGTCGCTGTCTCGTGGCCTTCTCGCGGCGTAGAGACATGTGCTGTCTCCGGCTCGTCGCCGTCTTTTGGTGTGGTAGGAAGCATGTGGGCGCATGTTTATTGGGTGAGTCCTGCTGCCTGTACAAACGCATTCAGCGCGCATAAAATAGGGTACAAAAACTTCAACGGGTGTTCAGAGATAACGGCTACCCGCACAATCTCTACACCGGTGCATGCGCAAACGAAATGGCCAACAAAGTCGCACCGAGCCCAAAATTTGGCGAGCGATCCCGTAAGTCAAAAACGTCTCGGAGGCTGTCGGCCCTCTTCTCGCATCACTTGGAGTTGGAGTCGTACACAGACCGGAGGTAACCATAAGGCGTCAGATAAGGAAATCTAAAGACCCACTGCCACGGCAAGAAACATCTGGGGTCGTCTAGAGGATCTGGTGCAGTTGTGGGCAAAGCAACTATGCCGGAGAAACTGACAGGCTTCTCAGGACGCGAATTGCCGGACACGCGGCAGCAGTGCGGCGAAATGATTCCCATTTTCAAGTTGAGGCTCATTCGACAGGACCCGGCCACACATTCAAATTTGATGAGGCCAAAATTCTCGCAAGAGGTGATAATCGGGTGAGCCGAGAATTATTTGAGTCATGGTTCACGGGCACCCAATCCATAAACAAGTGGAACGATTTGCCCAATCCATATTCGGTGCTAAGACTGAATTTGACCAAAGCAAGTCGTCACTTGGGGAACGGACAGGTCACAGTGTCATCCTAAGCCAACCCCGAGGGCCAGATGGCCGAGCAATCATCACGTCCGAGTCCACCACGCGTGATGAAAGTTCAGCAGGTCAGAGCCCGCATGCCATTCAACAAACTATCAACACCCAAGAAGGCAATTATCGTTAATTGTCGTCGTATGTTCGCATTAATGACTGTATCCTAAAAATACTGCAAACTCCTGTGCATACGCTATACCAATATCTGCTACTGCTCTCTGGATATGTCTCTGATGACGAATCCGCGACGGATGTCAGAAAGTCAGGTGATGATCGAGTTGTCTTCTTCTCGGTTAGTTAATCGTATAGCGACTGCCTCTGCCGTCGCAAGTATCCGCTGACGCAGGATTGGAATGTTTCGCCGACATTTTAGGCAAGACTCGAAACGCTTGGTTGACGTGTACATGATGACTGCTGTCAACCAAGTGAGTCAAATTCACGCTAGATATTGGCTTAACTACGCCTCGGTTTAACAAAGCAAGATAACGTTTTTCGCATGCGCTGGCATGGTCGCCTAGTTATTCGACCAATATACAGTAGATTGCATATCTGATGCAAGGTTGGGGATAAGAGGATTTAA